GGAGGAAGGGGCTGGTGGTGTGGTTTCTGAAGGCAAGCCAGACAGTATTCTAAGCTGGGGACACACGGCGTGTTTTAACTGCTGTGCTAATTCTGCGTAAGGAGATGTTAAGTATCTAGCTCCTTGCTGTAGCATGCCATGTGTCCCTGAATAAAATTACTGCCATGCAGGCTGTTAGGGAAGGAATGCGTAAACAGACAATGTATCCTTGCATCAGTTCCACCAAATGTTGCACAACACGAATGCCTCTCGATGTGTCATTTCCTGCTTGGCCACCAGCCCAGCTCCCAACAGTCAGTCAACATGAAAAAAAGAATAATAATAATAATAAAAGCTAAATAAATAAATAAAGAAAGAAAGAAGGAAAGAAAGAAAACAGAAAGAAAGGAAGAAGAAAAAAAAAAAGAAAGAAAAAAGGAAGAAAAAAAATTATACTGACAGATTTAAAGTTGCTCTGCTCGCAAGCACATTCCATCAGCCCCAGCCTTATCCCTCCACCCTCTGCCTTTGAAAGAAGGGAGAGAGAACTTCCTAAACGCTGTTATGGTTTTAAGTCTAGGAATCTCAAACATCTCCATGGCTTATCTGCGCTCTGCAGCCACACGGTTAACACAACGGCTCACCAGCAGCTCCTGCTTGCTTTTGCTGTCTTTTGTAGCATGCACAGACAACGAGGCACTGTTTGCTCATACCTTTCACCGTGGGTGCACCTTACCAGCTACGGCAGCAGGGAAATACTTGGGAGCTGAATGAAATGTAGCAGTTTTCTCCTACCAAAACCAGCAGCCCCAAACTCAGAGGGACTTTTCCACATGTGCTCATACGCTAAATTGCTGCCAGTGATTTTGGACACTATCTTTGATTAGAGATGAAGTCTTTGGAAGCAAGATATAAAAACACAGACACTCCTCCAGCAAAAAGCAGCCAAGAACTCATCTCCTGCTCTCTAGGGCTGCTGCTGAAGGACAAACCACCAGTTCATAGAATCACAGAATGGCCTGGGTTGGAAGGGACCTCAAGGATCACGAAGCTCCAACCCCCCTGTGCCATGCAGGGCCACCAACCTCCCCATTTCACAGCAGCCCAGGCTGCCCAGGGCCCCATCCAACCTGGCCTTGAACACCTCCAGGGATGGACGGGGCATCACAGCCTCTCTGGGCAGCTGTTCCAGCACCTCACCACTCTCACAGCACACAACTTCCCCCTGACATCCAACCTCAATCTGCTCTCCTTCAACTTAAATTGATTAGTTTGGCATTTGTAAGAGGAGTTAGGTAAAAGGTTGTTGGTTTTTTTTTGTTCTTTCAATTCCTTTAGGGTTTATACCTTGCTTCCTGTTGGTTCATTATGACCTTGTGACAACGTGGTTCCCAGCAAAACTTCTTCCAGCCCTCCCAGCTGGAAGGCAGCTCTGAGGGCTAAGGGCTGTGGATGACATAGGCTCTATACTGCAGAAGGGGAGAGAAAACACAGGCATTGGCAGGATTTCCCAATGACTCCCAAAGACCTTATACAATGGTTTCTGGACTCCATCCCTCACAATGCAATGTGCTGTCCCAGCCCAGCACAGAGGCTGTGCAACAAATAAGATCCTGGTTGGAAAAGCAGATAGACTGAAAAAAAAAATCTTTTCCCAGGAATAATCAATCATTAGAAGAAACTGCCAGGCTTTCCTAACAGAGCAACCTGACAGCCCAACCTCTATTGAAATGTTTTAAGATAATAGCAGAGAGGTAAGGCTGTGAGCTTCTACAAGCAAAGGTTTAATACAATCAACCAGCACTCACATTTAAGAACCTGACTTCCTGAAGCATCCAAAATCCCAACTGGAGTCACTGCATCACTGCATGCCATGACTGTTCAGCACGCTTAATGTCAGCCTCTGGATGGCTGTCATGGGATGGCTGCTGCTCCTGCTGCTGCTGGAAAACACGCAGCATTTGTTTGCTGGAGCCAACTTGCCAGCAGAAGGTCAAAGTGCCTTGCCTATAAACAAGCCTTACAAATTCACGATCTGAAGCATGATGTCATGTCTTAAAATGATAAGCTGGCAACAAAGTAAATGACATTTTGTAGAGACGTGCATAATTTTATGTTTACGCTACTTAGAATGAAGGTTCTAATAAGTCATTGGTTGTGTTCCTTTAAAGGGAAGTTTTATAACTGAGATGAATCACAACTGCAAGAGATCAAAGTTAGAAAACATCAATGATGCCATGGGGTACTTTTTAATCTCGTAATGAATGATGATCATGTGCTCTTATGAAGTTGGTCCAACTGCCAACGCCAGATGTGTATATTAAGAGAAAAGTTGTTTGTGATGTGACAGCTCCGGTTGAGTTGCCAGAGAGAAGAAAACGAGAACATGCCTGAGATGTCTGAGTGAAGTACAGATCCTGGCAGAGAGGGGCACTATTGGCAGATACTTAATCTGTTAAGAAAAACACATTCGCTATCAGATCCATTCGGTGACTTGAATTCCTCACTGCCCCCAACCACCTCATTTTCCTCATGCAACATAAACGCCAGATACACTTCCTGAGTGATCACCACCACACAGTAATAAATCTGCACGAGCTTGGGAGCTCCCAGAATGAACAGAACTTCAGTCAAACTCCCACGGTACTTCTGCAGCTACACTTTCCCTGAAAATTCACATTTAATAACAAGTCATCCTGGGGACATCATCTCCTTTATAGCATGCAACTGCAATGACAGAACCTGCAGAACCAAGCTGACCCCACAGCAGAGCTTCACTACGGAGCTGAAATTCTTACACCCAAGGCCTCTTAAAAGGGGCTTTCTTAATAAACAAATAAAGACAGAAAGAAAGATACAATAATCCCATCTGGGCTACGATAACTGGCGTTCTTAGTTACCGAGTATCCCTCACTAGAGCTGAAATCCATGGAAACAGCAAATAGGAGTCATGTATAGAGGTTGGCTAAACAACTCAGGCAGAACCTGGAGATCTCATATTGCTGTATTAACCCAGTCTCACCTTTAATTCACAAATTGCCAGCACAGCTTAGCTGCCATCACAGGACCAGACAAAGGTTCCCCCTCTGTGCCACAGTGAGCAGCCAACACTTTTAGCTGCAGCGTTTTCAATCTACTCCACTCCATCAGTGCATTTGTTGTCTGCCGTCTGAGATTTGCTCTGCAGATGCCTCAGTACACAGAAGCAGCCTCCAAATGGGAACGGCCAAGTGATATCCCCCGGTTTTTACACACTGAGCGCAGTTTGAAGCAACAGTTTGAATATTAAAAAGAGCACTGCTCCAGCAAGAGAGGGATGGAAGGATGAAAATCCCCTTGCTGTGACTGACAGAAACCTCAGATGTGAGAGGGCAGCAGCCTAAGTACCTACAGAACGAAACTTCTCCACAGCTAGCCGCTTTTTTATCTGGTGTTCTAGGAGAGGTACAAGAGCTGGGCAGCTCTCACAGAAGGCATTTTGGTTTCCCTCTCTCAGTTGTGCAGGAGGTGGCACCACAGCATGGATTAACATGAGAAACACATCGCTGCGTGCAGCCTTCTACTTCTGTCTTGGTGGTATGCTCAGCAAAACTCCCTGAAAGCTCCTCACGGGGCTCACTTGTACGTGCAGATCAAAGGCAAAACAATTATTTGAGATGCCTTCACAAAAGGGATATTTTTAATGTGGTTATTCATCAAATAATTCTTAATCTCCAAATGCAATTTAAATGCAGCTATACCTGGTTAATCCAATCAATTTAGAAAGACTCATTCTAGTCAGATTAAAAAAAACTCCAGAACTGACTCATCTCTGCTACCCAGATGCTGTCATACTGGTTGCCTTCGAAATGTGTGAGACAGAGTCAGGCAGAGATCACAATGGACTGACCACGCTTGCCTGTATCTAAAAGTATTGGCCAGCCATAGCATTGCTGGAGGGTGGCAAAGCACAACTGTCGTAAACATGTAGCCACAAATCATTGCTCAGATTCCCTTCCAGTACTTGAAGGGAGCCATACATAAACAGGAGGGGGAACGGCTGTTTGTGAGGGTGGATGGTGATGGGACAAGGGGAATGGTTTTAAAGTGAGACAGGGGAGGTTTGGGTTGGATATGAGGAGGAAGTTTTTCCCCCAGAGGGTGGTGAGGCACTGGCACAGGTTGCCCAAGGAGGCTGTGGATGCCCCATCCCTGCAGGCATTCAAGGCCAGGCTGGATGTGGCTCTGGGCAGCCTGGGCTGCTGGTTGGCGACCTGCACACAGCAGGGGTTGGGACTGGAGGAGCACTGTGGGCCTTTGCAACCCAGGCTGTTCTGTGATTCTATGATTCTTTGTAACTTGGGAAGGCGTGCAGCTATGAGTGCAACACTCTGAGGGACAATCTGATCAGCTACACTGCCATTAAGCACACTTTCTGTGCACAGATAAGAAACAAAGGCTGTGCTGTAGATGCACGGTGTTTGGAACTTTCTTTGGCCCCCAGGGGGTCTGTGATGAGTCCGTAGCTGAAAATCAATTTCAGGTTTGATGAGATTAACCAGGTGCATTAATTATCTGATGGCAAAAGAATTTAAGGGCACACAAAAAGGCACTATATTGTATATTATCCTTCTGTGCTAGGACTGATCCTGTAAGACCGACCTCCTATTGTGCTGTAAATGCCTTCAGTTGGAAGTTTGCAGGAGCTGAGGGAAGCGGCTCGTTGCAGGACTGCATCTATTAGCCTAAATCAGATTATACATAAATACCGTGGGTTCAGCTCTCATTTACACTGGCAGATAATGTATCAAGACCTTGATGTGAATGAGGATCGGGTTCGGGACTGCCCAAATTCAGCCAAGCACTTCGGCGTGTGTTTAATGCGAGTATGTGTGTGGTCCAATAGGCTCCAAATTAAGCATGCGCTTACATATTTTGCTGAGCAAGGCCCAGCGTTTGACAAAGATCTATATTTCATGTATGGATCTCCGTTAAACAAAATTAAGCAGGCGTAAGTGCAAAAATAAGAGTGTAATACTCACTTCTTGGCTCCCTCGGCCCATCCACCGTAACCTTTATGGCTCTGTGGTATGTAGCGACTTGGGGGGGATTTGTCAGGACAGTTATTGTCAAAGTAAAGCTCTTCCCTACAAAGAGAAAAAAAAACAACGAGGAATGAGTGATTACAACATGAAAACAGTCACATGCATGTTCAGTAAAGAGTCGGAGACGTTTAAAATTATTCCCTGTCGTTACCACAATCGCGAAAATTAAAAACATAACTGACCATAGGAGTTTTCCTCCCCTTCAGTTTTACTCTACGTCAAGAATATGTCCATGTGTTGACAATCTAAATGTTCCTTATTTAATAATGGGTCATCATGCAACGACAGAACAAAAGTGATTCACTGCCGAGGACAAGCCAAATTCCTTGCTGTATTGAAAGTGGTGTAAATCCAAAGCGAGGCGGATAATTTAAAAATTTACTCCAGTTTTGCAGCTGCGGGACAGAGAGCAGAATGTGGCCACATGTTATTTACTTCGCACAGCTCCATCGTGTCGTTGTTTGACTACAATGAGATGAGGAAAGGCTGCGTTTTCCCGCGGGAGCCATTAGAAGAGGGAATCAGCGTCTCCTGTCCTTCGTGCTCCAGGGCTGACGTGGTGATATCATCATTACTGGAGCACACTTTTCTCCCTACACACGACTGCACGTCTCTCTGTTCAACACTGAGGCAGCCCTCGGCTTTCCAGCAGCAGTGAGAAACCGCAGCGTGAACGCGCTCTTCCCCCGCCAGGCTGCGGCTGCGTTTCTCAAGGCTGGAGCTCACACAGGCACTGCACGAGAGCATCTGGAGCCCTCGGCCGAAGGGAGCCTTAAACGTGAGCAGAGGGGCTGAGCTGGGTGAGCCGGGCACACGTTCTCACCAGGCACCGGCCACTGACAGTTGTAATCTGTTAGATATGCAACCGTTAGTCACGTCAGATAATCAGAACTGAAAACTGCTTCAAGACAGGAAAAGGTGGGCGTGCAGCAGTGACTCAATAAAACAGTCAGCATCCCAAGCCTGCCTGCTCCTTTCAGCTGCTCCCCCACCAGGCTCTGAAGTGCTTTCTTTCTCTCTCCCTGCCTCTCTGTGCATTTCTGCTGCCGGTGCTTTTCCTCTTGTTGAACTCTGAAGACACAAATCTTAAACGATATCTAAGAGCACAAACTTAGTGCAGGTTTTTCAAGCTTAAAATAGAACAGCTTATGTAAAAGGCATAATATGGAACAGAGCTTTGGCTGTCAAAACTAGTAATTAGTCTTTCTGTCCTGCTGAAGCTGTATATCTGCCCCAAACGTGACTGAGACATGCAACATTCATCACCCGGAGTACAACTTCAAAATGTCTCAGCCCTTTTTCTCATACACTGAAATGTGACATGGATTTTTTTTAAGGACATGTAACAGTCCCTTGGAGTAAAATGCTCTTCCAGGTGTAGCCGCACTCTGGCTGCACCCATCTTTCTGTAGGTGGAGGCCAAAAGGTATAAAGGTGTCAGGCGGCTGAGTTTGGCCTCAGATGCAATGGGGAGACATGGCCAAAGGCAGCTCCCCCCACTGCCCCAGGAAATGGGTCTGTTCACTGATCTTCTGAGTATGACCACCATGGGAGAGTACTGAGGTTGCCCAGTCTATGTCGAGTCCTGCTCCTCCCAATTGTACAGCAGTCGTTTTGCCTGTATGCCATGCCTGTAGGCAGAGCCCAGACGTGCAGCAATATCCCTACTGGGCACACAGTGCCTCCACGCTGCCTGTTGAGGTCTGCAGTGCTGTGAGCCCTTTATCTCTATCCAAGCAAGAATTCAGCCTGCTGCCTGGACACCCACCAGTTTGCCAGGGATGGATCTTAGGCCTCCGTTAGCATCAGCCTCTGAAAACACACTATCATTCAGATCACAGTTACCCATATAAAAGGAGCAGAATACAACTGGCAACCACCAAAGATGCTAAGGGAATTTTCTGAATGCCTTGGAACGAAGCCTTTGGCCTTACACCGCTACCACTCTCTTTATGTGCCAAATCAGTCTACTGATGGCTAAAAATCAGGCCAACAAAACAATACTACTTTAAAAGACCCTGTAAAATCATTCTGTAGAGAAGCACTGCAAGGTTTTGTATGCTAAATGCATCTCAACGCGATAGAAAAAATGCACTCCTAAACGATCAGCCAGCCTATGTTGAACAGGTAAGCACCTCATCTGAAAGGAAAATAAGTTTTGTTCCCTAGCTGGTATTCTAACAAACAGAAACATTAATGAATGAACATTAACAAAGCCCCACCGCACTCAGCAAAACAAAGCACGGCTTTATAGCGGGGTGATGCACGGCCCGCCAGCACACTCCAGTCCCAGAGCTTTCAAGAAATGATTTACATATTACAGGATTGAGAACAAAATATGTTTTTAAGGTCACACGTTTCAGCGACGCGTGTGCCTCCCCCAGATAGATGGAAGTCACTTCACAGAGATCCTCCCTCTGCCAGGAAATCCTTTAATGCACTTTTTATCGCCTACCTTTATGCCCTCAGTCGTTTAAACTGTCTGCTTTTAGAAGCTGACGACTAATTGCAGAGCTCTGTTATTAAATTCCCTCGCCAAGCAGGCATCTGGCACTAATGCCTCCGTGCGTCCAAACTGTGCATGCTTTGTTATTCACACATGTGAGTGCAGCCGACAAAAAAAGGAGGGGATGGACATATGTTGAAACACAAGGCAGAAAGCAGAAGTCAGCTGGAAAGGGGACTCAGCAGCCTGTGTGTGCTGCGTGTTTTTCAGTCAGGTCCCAGTGTGATTAGAGCACTGGGGGACAACAAAATGAAGGTGATTGGAACAGGTTGCCCAAGGAGGCTGTGGATGCCCCATCCCTGCAGGCATTCAAGGCCAGGCTGGATGTGGCTCTGGGCAGCCTGGGCTGCTGGTTGGCGACCTGCACACAGCAGGGGGTTGGGACTGGAGGAGTGCTGTGGGCCTTTGCAACCCAGGCCGTGCTGGGATTCTATGATCCTATGATTCTATGATCCCGTGCTCACGAAAGACAGGAATTCTGCCCTTGCACTGCGGCTCAGCCTTGTAAAAGTGAGCTCCTGCCTCTAAACCACAGACAAACAACTTCTGCATGCATATAAAGAGCTCTGGTTACTTATTCTTAAGAATCCAGAAAGGTATTTAAGAGAAATTATGCAAACAAAAACGTGAAGTCAGGGCTCCTGTCAGGTGAGCAGCACTAACGTGGGTATGAATCCAGTTACTGCACTGAGCCATGGGAAGCAGGGAAAGAACGTGGGAGAGAAGGTGAAGCGGTAAGCTGATGATTCAGCCCTCACAATCAAACTGAGAGATACAGAGATCAAAGAGCAAGCTTTTAGAAAGATGTAAATCTGAAGGCAGGAACAGGTGTGGATTAGTTTCTTGCCACTGAAAAATGATTTCTTTCTTACTTTATTTTTCCTGTTTTACTTCAGGTCTTGTACCTACCATATCTGCCTCTGTAAGTAGCTTTCTCACTTCTCTTTGCAGCTACTGCTTTCTTTCCTGCTATTTTAAGGAGAGTTATAAAAACCTATCAGTAATGATAACTCTTTCTCCTTTCCTCTCTCTCTCCCCCTCTCTGTTCTGAGTCTGGGAGACAAGTCTGGACCAATTTCTCCATCCCGCCTCTGGCAGCAGAATGCAGCATTTCAGATCCTCCACCGAGTCCCGGCTGCTTCAAAGGCAAAGCTCTACTTTCTTCCGTTAAGATCATAAGAAATATAGGGGGAGGGGGTCAGCTCTGTTTGGACATAATTACACTTCATCAAAAGAAGCTTTCTTCATCTTCCATGCGTGAAAAGTCTGCAAGCAGTTAAGTCTGTCTTTTTTCTTCCTTTTTTTTTTTTTTTTTCTTTTTTTTTTTTCTTTTTTTAAATATAAAAATTGCTATTTGGGAAACTAGCCAAAACTCAGAAAGCCAATATAGTAAAACAGTGCACACCCTTTGTTTTGCTTTGAAGTCTCTTAAATAAATATGTTGAGGGCTTGAAAAGTACACTATCGCTTTTCCATAGATTCTACCCAGACTGATCAGAGAAAAACTCTATTCCAGATCTACTAGATACGAATATAGGTTGAATTACTGGTGCCCAAATTCAGAGGCTTTGTGTTTGTATGTGTCCACATCTACACCTCCCGAGTTCTCAGGCCCTTCAGTTCATTTCCTACGGTCTAATAAAAAAGCATATATCATACATTTCAAATGAAATCTGCAGATCTGAGGTTGTACATCACATCTCGGCTCTTTTCAGCACTGCTGAAGCAGTCACACACTGCTGAACTCTTTCTGTAAGGCACTGCTAGCGACCGAGCCAGGGAACCTTCAGACCTCATCCATCAGCACAGTAACAAAGCAGGCTGGTTTTTCCAAAGGAAGCAAGACAAATGGAAGAGGAAGGCAGCACCGCATCCCAAAGGGCAGCGAAGGCCATATTTATACTGAACTGCTTCTGCAGTAGTTATTCTGTTTTCAAGTTACCCTTTATTACCAATAATTTTCAAGATGTAAAATGATAAAGAGAGCTGTTGGCCAAGTCACTAATACAAAAAATAGCCGCTGTAAGCCACGCTGATGGAATCACTTTCACAAAACAGCGGTAATTGTAAAAGCATGCCAGCTGACTGAAACCACCCCGGCCTCTGTCATACGTTTGGTTAGTATTTTTGAGGGAGAAATAGCCCTGAGATGTACAGCTGCTCTTAAAGTGTCTGGCTGTCAATTAGCTTTATTACTGATGCTCCACACACACAGTTCTGCCTTTATTTCTTCCTTTCCCTCCACGCAGGGCCAGTTTAAAACAAATAATTACTGCAAATACGTAACGCACAAACACTGAGGCTGAATCGATGGCTGATTGATACAACAGATCCCTCTGAGCATTCCTGCACTGGAGACTGAAGTGCCAGCTTCCCTCAAGTGGTCATTTCAATCACTACCTCCAATTTCAGGGCAGCTACAAGAATCTTATGTTATTTTCAAGCTCTCGGTGGTAACAAAAGCTTTCTATGTGTGCTTCCCAGGTTACAGGATGCTCCTGAACAGCTGGAAGACGATGACAGCACTCTAAATCTCCCAAAAAATTAGAAGTCGCCCTCCCTGACATTTAAAGTAAAGGTTGAATTTCCTTCCATCCAAAGCTTACCATCAATTCACAAAAGCCAGGCAGGTTACTAACAACAACAGCGAGGTTTCTGTCTGCGGGTCATACACAAAGGGCAGGGAAGCACCAGAAGGCTTTCCACCAATAGCTGTGAGCTTTTAAAGACCATAACCTAAAACACATGTGATATGCAACGCTCCTTTAATTCTAGCTCTCCTGCAACAACTCCAGCAGAAGCGCCACTGCTGAAAGGAATCCTTCATCTCTTGTTACTGCGGCCTGAGATGCACTGACTGTAAGAAAACCATCACAAATATCCTCGTTTCCTTCCGCCTCTGCTGCGTGATTAAAATGGGGAACCAAGGTATTCTGTGAATCATTTTTTCAAAACCGGCGTTCCAAAAATGAACAAAGACGTGGCAGGAAAGCTTTGCAAGAGAGAACACCTCGCTGGGCTGGCAAGTTTGCAAATAAAACAGGCATCCGTGAAAGGCAGACAGCGATTTATCGGCACACAAATCTGCGTTTCCTTGTGAAACGAGGCTGATATCCAGGCCTTCCCTTCACCCCGCTGCGCCCACACACAAAGCAGCCACCCACCTCTGCCACTCCTGCCCACGAATCGCAGGTCATTGAATCTGGCCACCTGGTTCTTCATCACAGCAGAAGCGTTTCGCAGCTCTGCCGAATAGTTCTCGTCGTTCCCAGCCATCACGGTGACCACGGTCCCATCGGGCACTTCTCCTAAGGCCACCACCTGTGAGGAGGGGACAAGAAAGCACGGCTCGTGACACAGTGCTCTGCATTTCCTTGCAAACCCACACAGCACCGAATCCCCACACCAATTCCGAGGTGGGGGAGCAGCAGCTGTGGCTTTTCCTATTCTTCATTCAGGCCATCTCCTGACACAAGCATTACATTTTATCATAAGACTTACTTACAAACGTCTTTCCCATAAACTAATGATTGAAGGTTGCACTGTGATATTCATTAAATAAAAAGGAGTTCTGAATATGTATCGTAGAATCACAGAATGGCCTGGGTTGCAAAGGACCACAGTGCTCATCCAGTTCCAACTCCCTGCTATGTGCAGGGCTGCCAACCAGCAGACCAGGCTGCCCAGAGCCACATCCAGCCTGGTGCATATATAGAGAATGTTACACGGCCCAGTGTGCTGTGAAGCATTCCTTTACAACAATAAAAATCGATGACAAAAGCATACAAAATCTGAAAGTATTTACAACAGGCTGCATTGCCGAAAAAGAGAGCTCATCTCACTTAAGAGACTTAAGTACAAAGTGAAGCTGAAATGCCATATGAAATGGGTTATGCTGATGGTAACAGCACCCCAAATTCAAACGGGAATTCCGCCACCAATTTCTGCATCTGCATGGAAGGGCTGCAGTCTGAAGGGCCCAGGAGCAGGAGATGCTCTGGGCAGTGTAGTGAGCAGCCCCCAGCCCGCCTGGCTCTGGCAGCAGCCGGCTCCACAGGCTGCAAAGGGAGCTGTCAGATCACAGCTAATCAGCTGCTGAACTCACACCCCTGGTAAATGGATACTGGCTCAAAGCCTAACACAGGGAGCTGCCTGCAACGTGCTCCCATCTCAGCTTATGACAGAGCACGATGTCTCCAGGCAGCCTCGGGACGCACGTCAGCACCCCGGGAACTTGCAACCTATACTTTCTCCACGGCGAGAAACAAACCAACAAACAAACAAGAATCCCTTGAACTCCAGAAATGCAAAAAAAGGGTACACGAGTCCAGCAGGGCCGTGGAAGAGGCAGCACAACCACTGCAGCCCCTCTGCAGCCCCACTCCCTCCTGTTCCCTCCTGCTGCCCGGCAGCACACCACCCCTCACCGGACACCGGGCAGGGCTGACATCCTCCAAAAAGGCCCTCTGCTCACACACACCCCATTACTTCTGCCAGGTTTCCTTCCCAGCCTTTCCTCCTGTCAGTGCTGTTTGGCTCTGCATGTTTTGCCAGGGCATCCCTGCGTGTGCCACTGCAATAAGTGCATCCCTGCACTGCAGCTGATGCAAGGTCTGTGCTCAGCTTAGTGAGAGAGGCGAGCTGAGATCAGGGCTGAAAAGAGAAAGCTTCGGCTGATAAAAGAAACTCCAATCATACCAAAAGCTCCTCACTACGCTGCTGGGTAAAACGTTTGTCACTGTTACACTTTCAGACCTTACAGCCAAGAAGCACCAGAAGGTTACTGTGACAGCACTGCCCAGAACAAAGCTGCATCCTGTGTTCGAAACCCAGAGAAACACAGACCGCTTGGGGAATTTTAAAGTGTAACTTTCTGCATGGAAAGACTGCATAAACTTTGATTTGGAAATGTTATGCCACGCATCCATCAGAAATTACTTAAATATTTGTAGAAAAGGGACTGTAATTGCACAGCAAAGTGAATAAGAGCAAAGCAAAAGCATAAAGATTAGCACAGGCACAGCGCAGGTCTGTTACCTACTCTTCAAACACAAATATCTCCTCCATTTCATGGCGTTTACTTCCCACATGAAGCTACCCACACGTTTGGACGAATAAAACTACATTCTTCTATCTTTAACCAAAGCCCCAAAAGGCACAAAAGCTCGACGGAGGGCACAGAATAAAACCAAACCAGCTCTTACAGGTTGAAGACAGCCATGCATCTCTTTGCACGATTCCCATCTGGTTAGGAGACCCATTTGCCTGGTTTCAGTCTGGTGAGATTGGAAACGGCCACACTATGTCTCCTATGCTGGAAGTGAGAGAAACGCTGCACAGGAGCAGGCACTGCAACCTTCTGCATAGCAAAAAACTTGTTCTGAATGAAGCTGCAGTACCTGTTGCACAGATGCTGATATCTACTGCTCCAAGAACTCTTCTTGCAAAGCAGTGAATTCAAAAAGCCTCTGAATCTCAGCTCTCTGGGACTTGAAAATGTCTTTTCTGGAGATACTGCCAACAGAGCATCTGATACTATTAAAAATATTATAATGTTCTATAACTTAAACCAGAAAAACTGATTTGCACGACTTCTTTTTTTTATTATTATTATTTGTTTAAAAATATACATCTGGGCTGGCAGTTTATACAGCAGGTTGCAGCTTGAAGCTATTTAAAACAGCTGAGTTATAAACTCTGAAAACTGGGGTTTGGAGTGGAAATGCTGACAGCCCCTGAACTACTGCTGTGCTACTGGGAGAGGTCTCACACCTCACGGCTGCTCTTCTGCCTTCCTTCTGCCCACTGCAGTGCTCTGCTTTTACCAGCGTCATCCGGAACCACAGCCAGCAGCCAGTCCAACAGCCAGCAGGGCACTGCATCCTTACAGCCAG